GACTCCCACCATTTCAATCCTACCTTTCCCAGACCCAAAAGTGAGCTGGGCCCGTTTAGCCTGGAGAAGAGAAGGCTGAGAGGAGATCTGATCAACATGTTCAAGTACCGGAGGAGTGATTGTAGGGAGGATGGGGCCAGGCTCTTCTCCCTGGTGGCCGGTGACAGGACGAGGGCTAATGGGTGTAAGTTGAAACATATGAGGTTTAATTTCCATATGAGGAAGAACTTCTTTACTGTGGGGGTGCCAGAGCCCTGGCACAGGCTGCCCAGGGAGGCTGTGGAGTCTCCTCTGGAGATCTTCCAAACCCGCCTGGTGCCACGTGCTCTGGGTGTCCCTGCTGGAGCAGGGGGTTGGACTAGATAATCCCTAGAGGTCCCTGACAACCTCAACCACTCTGTGATTATGTGTTTTAAAAAATGCAACATGAGGAAGCTTCTGCGCTGCTGTCCGTTGAAACTTGTTGCTCCCCCAGCCCATGCAGGAAGCCCCCACCATAGCTGTTACATGGAACAGCCTGGGAAGGGAGCAAGGATGCAATGAGAGGGCTTTGGAGGGCCTTACATCCTGAGCAGGGATGGGTAGGTGCCACCAAGGCAGTAAAACATCTCTCTGTCCCACCCCAACAGCTCCGTGGTTCCCACAGAGGTCTCATCTTTCTGCACATGCCCCTTTTGGCCGCTGCAAACCCTACCCACATGTCGCAGCATTGTCCATTGCAGGGACGGTCACGGTCCCTCTTACCGAGACTCTGTCTCTCTTTCCAGACCACTGCGTCATCATCTACCTTTACCACAACGGCCAAGTCATCGACACCAAGGAGACCAAGCCAATGGCTGGTACAACCCTGTCTGGAACATGCCCTTCCTCTTCAGCTGGGGACATCCAGCAGCACGAGCTGTGCCTGGGCTTCACTGTGATGCAGGTGGGCAGCTGTGGCTGTGCCCACGGCCACGGTTCACGCGTGCAGAAGGTGCCACTCACGCTCAGGAGCATCTCCAAGGTGCTGCCTGCGCGTGGGACCAGCCAGTGCTCGTGGAAGGTGGACAAGCAAGCCCAGAATTGGGCTGGTTCTCCTTGGACTGATGGTTGAGGGCGGTCAGCTGAGCTCTACACCCGTCTTCCCGTCTCCGCCATGGGCTGGAATCCACACGCGCAGCTGCGCCCCGGGCCAGGCACCTTGGCAGGAGACGTGCAGCCATGTGGAGGCTGCGCGGAGGCACCTCGGCCAGCCCGAAGTGCCCAGGCCCTTCCGGGACCCGTCCGCGCACGGAGGGGCGAGTGAAGGGGACCCTCCGTGCGTGCCACACGAACGGGGCGCTGGACAACCGAGCTCTATCCCTCTCCGGGGATATCCCTGCAGGCAGAAGCTGTTTGCTGGGTGCTTTTCTTTCATTACCAGCCCAATTGGGTGGCCGTTAAATAACTAAAGCGGTTGGCACAACGCGCGGGATGCTCGCTGCTCCATCGCGCTGTGCCTTGGGACGCGGTGGGATGGCGCAGGGGTGTCTCCGCTGAGACTTGGGGCTGCATGGGGCTACCCAGAGCGCGGGGACGGTGCTGGAGCAAGGCCAGAGCCATGGGAGACGCCACTGTTGACGCATGGGGGGACACTGGCACGGTGGCGAGGAAGACCACGGTGAGGAAGGCCTGGGTGGGGAAGGCCACGGCCAGGAAAACCACAAGGACAACCACGGTCAAGACGACGATGGTGAGGAAAGCCATGGCAAGACGGAGGTGCATGGTGAGGAAGGCCGCACTGAGGAAGACTACGGTGAGGGAGCCCATGGCGAGGAAGGCCCCGGCGCGCAGGGGGTTAATGAGGCTCCTCCAGAGTAGCGAGGAA